CCAAAACTCCAAGGGAAAAATGGCTCCCCATCTAGAATTCTATACCCAGCCAAATTATCAACTGAGCATAAAAGTAGAATAAAGGTAAAAAAAACTCAGCCTTTGATTTTTCCCTGTCTGGAAGTTCTTCCTAGCAGATGGGTACCCCCAAAACAAGGGAAGAAAGAAAGGGGGAGAGCAGGAGAGGGGAAAGGAGGAAGGAAATAAAGAAATAGATTGTTTAATGTATTTGAACACATTTAGAAGAGATTTGAACCTCCATCAGAGAGCAGGGAGTTATTCAGAATTACATAGAAAACTATGCAATTTTTTTTAATAAGGCAATTATTTTAAAAAATTTGCAAGTTGTACCAGAAAGGAACTGAGATCAGTGTATGCTAACTTGGGGTGAGGTAGGTAGGGCAAGAGGTTCCTGTTGTTCTTAACGAGCTTTTACTATTATTTGACTTTTCAAATTATATGCATGCTTAAATTTCATTTTTTAAAAGAAATCACTTGTTTGATTTAGAAATGTAGAACGAAAGTAAAAATATACTTCTGAATAATTCTAGAGAAAATCCAAATAGAAATTACAAGGAAAGCAAATGAGTGCTCTATCTCACTTCCCATGGCTGAGGCCAAAGTCACTCCCAAAGCAAAGCAAATCCAGTCCTTATGCGTGTATATTAGAAGGGGTTTGGAAGGCTGCACCTGGATTAGGTAGGCTGGGATGGGGACCACACACCCACCCCTGAGCCCCCAGGAGAATCCAACATGGGTGGGCATGGGGAGTCCAACAGAGGTCTATCTCCAAAAGAGGGCATGACAGAGGCCACCTCGGGGACAGCTCTCAATGCCTCTGGGAAAGGACTGTGGCACAAGGATACCAGCAGTCCAGAGGGGGAAGTTCTCACTGGTGTTCTTGGTCAGCAGGATAGGGAAAGACTGTCATTTTGGGCCAAGATAGATTGACAGGGACCAGATTCACACTCCCACCAGACATAACTTAAACATGGACAAAATACATGAAACAGCAGTTCACAGACACTGGGTATCCAGCGAGCCCTGCCATTGCCCAGCCTACTGCCTGGAAAGAGGTGACCCGCCCAGCACAGGGAGGCAGTGCCCAGTCTTAGCTCTCCCTGGCCAGGAGGGACATAGCTGGAGTCTGTGGGCAGAGTGCCAGAGAGAAGAGAGCCACATGCACCCACAGCTCTGCATACCAGCAGAGGGGCCCCTGGTGCGGATTGACACATGAAGGGAGGGAACCTCCCCAAGGCCGGAGGAGGAGCCCCTTGGAAAGACAGCAGGGACAGCTGCCTGCACACCCAGCCATGCCGGGGACTCGAGCAGGGGTGTTTGCACATGGGGGCCCTGTGCCCAGCCCTATCACAGCGGCCAAAGGTGGAAGCAAAGCAGTGCCCTTCAGCAGGTGAGTGGAGAAGCGGCCGCACATCCATCCGCACAGGGGAACACTGTTCCGCCTCAAAAAGAAGGAAGTCCTGCTATAGACTATCTATGGTTAAAAGAACATATGGGATGTGAACAGATCCCAGAAATGGGCTGCTTTAATTTGTCTGATGGTTCAAGTACAGTTGGACAATATCCATCATATCATAGATAAATTTTCACAAATGCCTAGGGTGCCTAAATGGTTTTCTTGGCTTCACTGGAGATGGCTGGTAATTATAGATTTGCTTTGTTTATGTCACCGTATTCCTATTATGTTAATATGTGTGTGCAAATTAGTTAGTAGTTTAAAACCTATACATACTTAAGGTACTATACAAGAAGATATGTCAAAGAAATAATCAATCCTCCCAAGTTTCCTTCATATGCTACATCTATAGCTTTTCTTCTTCCTTCCTAATTACAAACCTTAAATAGAATTCGTGCCTCATATCGAATTTACCGAGTATCATAATTCCTCCAGGTGGTAAAGATACCTCGAGACAAGTGCTGGGCATAGAAGCCACAGGGCATAAATCTGCAAAGAAGTAAAAAGCTAACCTTTGCAAACAATATGGCTTCTCTCTCACTTACCAACTTTACATTTCCCTGTATGGCCCCGGAAGATGACTGGTTAGCCAGAGACGGGTAAGATTCCTCAAGGGAGGAACAACCTAAGACAGGCACAGTCGCAGGGGGGCCATCAGGTGAGAATTTGGGGATCAACAGAGGTGAGGCTCAGAACCTCACCCCCCCTGCTTTGAGAGAAATCTTCTGCATCCGTGGATGTCTTGCTGCCCTTGTCTAGCCTGGATTAATACTTAGTCCATAGGCACACACCTGATCATCTGATCATCTA